TCACTCAAATGAGAAATATGCCAAAGAATAAAATAATACTATACATAATTTTTAATGTATTATATTTGTAAATTGTACTTATGTTGAAATTTTTAAAATATATTACAATACTATTTTTGCGTTCTATGAAAATTTATGTTGCTCCATATAGACCAAATTGTAAATCAAGAATCCCCCACCCCGGTCAATGGTGTCCCCCTTTACCAATGTTAAAATCTGGTCACCTTATCCTACCAGGTAATGCGCAGCATGCCCTCACTCTGTCTCTTTCTCAGAATATTATGCTGTATTTTCATTCTTATGCTTATCCTTAAGAGTTTTATCATCATTTAGTTGATTCTTAAGCAAAACAGCAAATATATTTTGATTAAAATGATGGTAACCTTAGAGAGACTTGTACACGTATATGATATTTAGTAATCTAGGAATAGAAATCTTCTAAGTTATTAATAAATACTATTCATTTTCACAAACGTTTTAGATTCATAACAGTCCAAGTCTCTCATATAATTATTTTCCCCCGTAATGCTTCCTGTTTATTATTTTTCATATAAATTGGATCACAGTTTTGAATGATTTTTCCTTAACTAATGACCAATTATTGGTATATGGAAATATTGATATGTATTTATCTTTTTCCAAATGAATTTTGTTATTAAAATAATGATAGTAACAACTATTCTGATTCCATTTCACTTTCTAGGCATGTACTCACCTGAAAATCTTGCTATTTTTGTTTCTTTCTCATATGCATCTTATATCTTATTGAACTATCAGGAAGTCCTACAAACAATTTTCACTAATAATAGTGATGTGAGGAGCCCCAGTGAAGTCATGGTTACGTGTTTGTCTGTTTTTAATAGTGAGATTGGAACTTCTTGTTTATTTCTAAATCTTTAGTGATTTCTTTTTTGGTGTAATATCAGCTTTGCTTTTTACCAAAAGGTATTTTTCCAGACATTAGATGCTTCTACCTTTGTTGCTTGATGTCGTTCTTTCTTTCCGTGGGAGCAATCGATGTGAACACCTGTGTGCTTCGACACACGGGGTCTCTGCACTGTTCAGTCTTTGGCTTGTTTCCCTCTCCACTCAGGCATGTTCTATGCCTGAGAGGAGAGGGAGATTTTGAAGCAATAAATGGTACCAGGTGCAGAAGACGAAACTATATACTTTCTCCCACTCTTCTTTAGACAGCGGAGACTTACCTTAATAGCCTGGATGCACTCAAGATAGGAGGTTCTCTTCACACAGGCCACCAGGGGACCATCCGCAGAAAGGACTTTTATCACATTATCCCGGAAACTGAAGCATTTTTGGGCCTCATGATCTGACACCGTGCACCATTTCACAGTTCTCTCAGGGACGGCCACACACAGACCTAGAGGAGAGAGGCCAGAGGTGTAAGGAATTCCCAGCACACACTTTTCTCTGCTGGCATGAGAGGTTGAAGATGTGGCAACGAATAAGTGAGCTGTGTGTGGCAGGCCCCAACTGGATCAGTTCTGTGACTCACATGAGTTCTCGGGCCCCATTTCTCTGCTTTTGTCCAATCCCCATTAAAAGCATCCCCAAAAGGTTAAAATGGCCAATGACCCAGCAAATCCACATCTCATTATATAGCCAAAGGACCTGAAAGCAAGCACTCAAATAAATACTTGTGCAAACATGTGCCTTACAAGACTATTCACATTAGTCAAAAGATGGAAAGAAGCCAAGTGTCCCTCAGTTGACGAATGGGTAAAGGAAACATGGTATGTACACATACACACCCCTCTCTTTCAGCCAAAAACAAAGGAATGAAAAAAAAAAAGATTCATGATATACTACTGTTCATGAACCTCAAAAACATTATACGAAGTGAAAGAGTTCTGACATGTATTATATACTTCCATTTATATGAAATGGCTGGAATAGGTCACCCCATCAAGATAAAAAGCAAGTCAGTGATTGCCAGGTGTAATTACTCAATGAGGCTGGGACATTCTTTGGGGACAGTGACAATATTTTAGAACTAGATCAAGGCAGTGGTTGCACAATATTGTCAATGTACTAAATACAACTGACTTATACACCTTGACATGGTTACTTTTCTGTTATACAACTTTCACATCAAAAAATGGGTGGGGGGGGGGGATTCTCTAGCAAGGAGGTTTGGGCCTGGGATTGAATTTTGCTTTTGATCTTGGATAGACTGACCTTGAAAACCAAACCAAACCAAAACACACACGGTTTGCCATCTCCTGGATTCTGACTCACGGTGGTTCCACCTGTGTCAGGGTAGAGCTGACTCTGCTGGATTCTCAATGGCTGATTTTTCAGAGGTAAATTAGCAGGCCTGTCTTCCAAGGTGCCTCCCGGTAGACTTGAAGCTCTCACCTTTCAGTTAGTAACTACTTGATTCACCCAAGGACTTCACACTAACTGTAAAAATGACTCCTTCTACTTTACAAAGAGGAGAAGAAGAATCAGCAGCTCGAAGCCAATTCCTTTGAGGACAGGACTGTACCCTTCCGCCTTCATTTACCAGTTCTGACATCGACTCTCCCTACAACACTCTACTTCTCTGCTGGGTTCAATAATTTGTTTCAAGAGCCACAGAGCACTTGCAGACATTATTCACTATTATGGAGTTTATTGGGGAATTATAATTCAGGATCAAAAAGGACTCAACAATGAGCTCTTTGATCAGGAGAGTGTCCTCAGCCATGCCCACAGGCAGGACTCTCTTGCCATTGGCCTGACCTGCTCAGGCAAGTGTTACAAAGCTCTTCCAACTGCCAATAAGTGTTCAAAGGTTCTCCACTCCACTAGCCAGCCAACTGTCCAAAGGCACTCAGCTTTCTCACTCCATGGGCTGGGAAGCCCAACACTGTCTCCTGCCAGTCTTCTGATTCTGCTGCCTCTGCTATTGCCACTTCTCTGCCACTACTTCTCATGCTATCTTGCTGTCTTTGGCATAACAGTTTTTCTTTGCCTCTTCCTGGAACAAAAGATACAACGAGGGATCTCAGAACCAAAAAATTCCCTCTGCTCCTGGCTCTACTTTCTGAATAGTAATGAGATCCCCTTTCCTCCTCTTCATGCCTAACCTGATGGTAAAACTAACCAATCCCATGTTAGGCATCCATGCACACCGGCCTGTCCCAATTCAATCGCTGAGGTCAAAGTAGGTGCATAAGCAAAAGTTGTGAAGAAAGCTGAT